CTTTGCTTAGCTTAGCTTGTTCTAAGTAGGTGCTTTAGACCACTGAGCCATCTCACCAGCCCTCATTTTGTGTTTTAGGGTTACCTCTTCCATACAGTGGCTGGGAAGCACCAGGACTTAAAGTACATTTCTCCAGAAATTGTAAGTGACCCTTAGGAACCCACCATGCACGAGCACGCAGGTGTGACCCGCCTGGTAGTCAGAGTTGCTTTCCCTGTGTCCCCCACAGATGGCGTCCGTTCTGAATGGCAAGTTTGCCAGCCTCATCAAAGAGTTTGTTATCATCGACTGCCGGTACCCATATGAGTACGAGGGAGGCCACATCAAGGTAGGGTCGCTAGGCGTGCTCTCCCACTGGTTCCGTGGGAGCAAGTGTAGTCCTGGATACCCAGCTGGCTTGCTGCTGGTGAGAATCAGGGCTAGACAGCTCTCAGAGGCTAAGGCAAGAAGATCTCTGCAAGTTCAAGGCCACCCTGTACTACATAGTGAGACCCTGTCTCAAAAAAAATGGAACACCAGATGGCCAGGGTGACAGCCCTGGGCTCCCAGACCAGAGTAGGAGTCCCTTGTCTGCAGCACTTCCTGTTCCATCCTCACCCTCTGCAGCAAGGCTGTCTGCTTGGGTCTGGGTGGTTTGGGTAAAAGGCCTAGGCTCCCCCTGGGGCTGGCTATCGTCAGGGCCCAGTATGGCCAGTGCAGTCGACCTCTGCATGGCCCTTGGCCCATGTTCTGGGAGAGGCGCTGGTGTGAGTGTCTGACGAGGGCTGTGAGCGTTGTGAAGAGGCCAGGATTCTCCGGCAGGGTGCCCACCCAGAGCCGGGGGTGTTTCACACGGGGCCCTGGTGCAGCTCCCGGGCTCCTGTGCAGCCCCGCAGTCGAAGGCTCTGTCTGTACCCACCACCAGAGCGGCTGGGTGGGCGCTCAGGGCTCTGCCTCCTCCTCAGGGCGCAGTGAACCTGCACATGGAGGAGGAGGTTGCGGACTTCCTCCTGAAGAAGCCCATTGTGCCCACCGACGGCAGGCGCGTCATCGTCGTGTTCCACTGCGAGTTTTCTTCTGAGAGAGGCCCTCGCATGTGAGTATTGCAGCAGCCTCTGGCCAGCTGGGCGTGGAAGCCATGTGCCCGTCAGCGCAGCGCTCTGGGAGGCGGAGGCAGGGGTCACAGGACAGCACACCCTGGGCAGCTCAGGGGCTTTCTTTGTGAGACCCTGTCTCAAATAAAAGCAAGGTGGGGGGAATGGGCATTTTTCCCAAGTCTTGGTCACTTTTTTTTTTTTTTTTTTTGTCAGAACCAGGCCTTGAACTCAGGCTCCTGCGCTTGCCAGGCAAGTGCTTATTCCACTGAGCCATCTGCCCTGCCCCTTGGTCACTTGACAGCAGGCTCACTTGGTAAACAACCCCTTGAGTCTTGTTTCTGGCCTTGATGGCCTGGCCATTTGCGGCTCCTCCCACTTGGCCCTGTGGGTGCTCTCGTACCCCAAGGGTCCAGGCCTCTGTTCCTTGGTGGCTCCCTATTGGCCCTATGTATTAAACTTTGGTCCTTGCAGTTTGCTGCCAACCAGAGGAGCTAGAGTTAGTGAGGGGACAGTGAGTGACAAATGGAAGGACCCTAAGGACTTGGGTTTACACCAGGGCTGGACAGTGGGAGGAGACTACACTGTAGACACAGGAAGTGGTGTCGTACTATGAGGAGAGGACTGGCGGCCTGGAGGTGCAGGGCCCCTCTGAGGGGAGTTGAGAGCAGGAACGTTGCCTGTACTGTCAGAGGCCGCAGCTCAGAGCTGGCCATGTGTGGAGGTGCCTAGTGGGTGTGGGGCACTGTGCCTGCCTGGATCTATGTAGACATAACTGCTACCTGCATCCCCACCAGGTGCCGCTATGTGAGGGAACGTGACCGGCTCGGCAATGAGTATCCCAAGCTCCACTACCCCGAGCTGTACGTGCTGAAGGGCGGCTACAAGGAGTTCTTCCTCAAGTGCCAGGTGAGCGTGCCACCATGCCCCACCCCACCCTGGCCATCCTAAGGTGGCGCCCCTGACCACCATCTCCCCCCAGGCCCACTGTGAGCCCCCCAGCTACCGGCCCATGCACCACGAGGACTTCAAGGAGGACCTGAAGAAGTTCCGCACAAAGAGTCGCACCTGGGCGGGGGAGAAGAGCAAGCGGGAGATGTACAGTCGCCTGAAGAAGCTCTGAGGCCAGGTGGCATGTCCCATCCTGAGCCCTCAGTGCTGTGTGACATGAGAGAGGCAGCCTGGCCTCCTCTTAACCCCCAGCGGGCTGCTGGCCGCAACCCTCCGTCCATGTCCCCCTCAAGGCCACAGTGTCCTCCCCAGACTGCACATCCAGCGATGGGCGAAGCGGCTACTGGGGCCTTGCCGGACTCTGCCTGCCCTGGGCAGTGGGAAACCTGGGCACAAGTGCCACCGCCAGTGCCAGGGACTCTGAGGAGCACGGATTTCACGGCTGCCCATGGGCTTAATTTATTCAATTTAATCATTTTTTTTTTTTTTTTTTTTAATTCCTGGGGACTTCTACTTTACTGCTTCGTTAAGTCACGATACTGCCATTGCAGGGAAGGGTTCATTATCTGGATACCTGCTTTCCTTAAAGGTGACAAGGCGGGCCTGTCCTGAGCCCCAGGGGGCACCGGCCCTGGGCTGCTGCTGTTCCAAGCAGAGGGCTGAGCTGCGGCCTCCTGTAAATGGGACATGAGCTGACCTCTGGGCTGTTGCGCAGCCTGGGCAGTGTCTCTGTGTCCCTCTGTCCTGATGCTCTCGTGGGTTTTGATTCTTAAAATATAGTGCTTTCAGGGGGGAGGAGTGTCGATCAGTGTTGGGGGGCACCTGCGGGTAGGAGGGCCATCCCAGACTGGGTCTCAAAGGTGACACTCAATTTATCATGTTTTAATTGGAGGGAAAAGGAGTGGATTGTCACCAGCCCCCCCTTATCTCTCCCCATGGAAGTGAGCCGTCTGGTGCCGCCCACCTTCATGTGTCTGAGGCAGCTTTTCACAGCACCACCACACCCTGGCCTTTCCCCACTGCTGTGCCCTGGGAGCCCAGTTACCTGTTCTGAGGGTGATGCTGGAGATGGCTGGTGGCTGTTAGGGGTTTCCACTGCATTTGGCTGTAAAAGAATCTTGTTGGGAAATGGGGGGTAGGGGGGAAGAAGGTTGAGGCCTGATGGGCCCTGACCTTGCTGGCAGGGGTGCTGTTGATGGCATGCCTAACCAGGGCCAGCTGTCCCCTCAGCTGGCACAGCAACCAACTATCACAGGCTCTGAGAATAAACGAGCTCAAACCCACACCATTGGCCTGGTTCTTGGTGGACTAATGGGAATCCTTTCCCTTTAAGGCTCTGAGACCTCCCAGTTATGGGTGTATGGTACTGAGATCAATCTCAGTCTTCACACTGAGCTACATTGCCAGCCCCCATCTTTACTTTGGAGATGGGGGGTTCTCACCAAGTTGCTCAGGTTGTGCTTGAAGGTTTTGGATGCTGGGATTACAGGTATGCATCTCCACATTGCACAGCACCTCTAAGGATCCCTTTTTATGTTTGTAACTTGTTCAGTGTATATGAATTCTTTTTTATAGGGAATTGAACTCAGGATCCTGCACTTGCCCAGCAGGCACTGTGCCACTGAGCTACATCCCCAGCCCTCATAACAAAACACTCGGCAAGTTCCTCTTTCAGAAAAAAGTAAAATAATGAGGTGGCGCTCACCTGTCACTACAGCACTTGGAAGGCTGAGGCAAGAGGATTACGAATTCAAGGCCAGCCTGGACTACCAAGTGAGACCCTGATTTAAGTGAAACCGGGCTGGTGAGATGGCTCAGTGGTCTAAAGCACTTACTTAGAACAAGCTTAGCAAAGCACAAGGTACTGCGCTTCAATCCCCCAGCACCACATGCCAGCCAGCCCGCCCCCTGGTGGGCTGAGCTGGTCACACACAATAAATAAATGCTAAAAAAAAAATTTTAAGTGAAACCACCCCTTTTTTACCAGATGAGCAACTTCCAGAGTGTGACTGGCTGAGTTCCCTGCCTCTGTGGCTGACCTCACTTTGTAAATCGGCTGGAGCAGGTGTGGTCCTTGCGCAGTCACCTTACTAAAATAGCTGCTTAGCTCAGCCTGGAAGCCGCTCCTTGTATGTAGATGGAACCTACACC